TAATGCCATGTTTCCATTGACCTTTCATGCGTGATGAGTAAGGACAGTATTAGTCACTACAACCTTTCTACAGACTGGTTTGTTTTCACGCTATTGACAATGATATCAGCTATCAATGCCGTGTTTGGTGAACGGTACACAAGTACAAACACGTTTTCTTATGTTGGGGTTGGTTTTTCAATTGTTCCGGGGCTGTGTACAGAATCTGAGATACCACACGTAGTGTTATTTGTGTTACTACATGAATCATACGTTTGAATCAGAGTGTACAATTCAGGAGAATGTATTGAAAAACAATTGCGTTCGCAGTATAACCTACAAAACTCGTTTTTTTATGACCATGAGAAATCTCTGTCCATAATGATGATTTCTTATCAAATCCGTGCCAATTGGAAGCTAGGCAGCAAGATAAGTTCATAATGTAAGTCAACATTTACATAATGATAAATTCATGTAGATTGCCCCGACAATGAGACAACTGCTACTGTAACAGCTCACGCTGAGAAAACACCACTCGCTGTGGAGTGTGAATATGTTTATTTCCGAGCATAAGCAAAAATGGAGATTGAGGTAAATTTTTACTATAACCAACGGTTACTTGTCAATCTGAGTCAAGAAATTCGGGAAACAAAATATATTCACTACACATAAAATCTTATCCACAAAGAACTGTAAACACGATGACGTTTGCAATGTTCATACTACTGAACGAAATTTTGCAATAACACACAGATTCCATGAGGCAAAATATCCTAATATTTTTCATCAATAACCAAATCCACATTTTGGTAAGAACAAGATCAGAATCTACAGTTTTCCTTAATACGTAAAGCTGAAAACCAAGTCTCACTTAAAGCCCTATTTATATCACGATTAACATTGATATACATTCCTACAATCTTCCTATTTTTCATTCACAGGGCTACCAGATTCCAGAGGGCTGGACTGTGATCTACGGCATACAAGACACGCATCAAACAACCAAACTCTTTGACGACAAGGAAGAATTCAAACCTGAACGCTGTGGCCTTTCACCTTCGTAAGGATGTCAACAAGAATGTGCAACAGAACGTCTAGATGTCCTTCAATGGACAAACTTGGGAGCCTGCAACGCCAATTCACAGCTGGAACTGTGTAAAGGGCTTTTGAATTTAAAAGACCTCCAGAGACATACCTACCACAAGTACTGATTGTGACAGAGAGTTTAAGCAATCAGGAAGTTGTAACCACATATTATATATCTGACAGTCTTCCCAAAACGTTATCTACGAACTAGATTGTTTGGAGACGTTTTGCGTTGACACAAGACAAAAAAGAACATAGTGATGCAACGAGGTGCACCATTTAGTGAGTGTTGAGTAAGTTGTGTTATATTCTAACTACAGAAATAGTTCATCAGTATCACAGAAGGTCTTTATCTATATTAGTCCCATCTACAAACATCGCCGTTCAAAGAAATCTGATATTGATGTTTTAGCCATTTCCCCCTCCAGTTTTAAATTGTACAAGCACGTATCAGTTGAAAATGCCTAGCCCTTCCATCTTCCTTTCGCATCAATGGTTAAGGGAGGGTATTTCCAACAGACCGTGTGCTTCACATTACCAAAGGAAACGCAAATCAGTATATCAGTAGTTATCAAGTGAATATGCTGAGAACAACGTGTGTTTGTGTCGGTGTCACCGGTTGGCCATTTCCTACAATTGTGGATATGGGTGTTGTGGCATTTATTCAAAGCAGGGAATGGTATCGTTTCCAATTTTGGGGTAACTGATTAGTGTCCAACGTGCTAAAGACTAACTTTTCTGATAACCTACAAGTTTCAGAGTAACTTTGCCAGTTATCATATGCCTGGGTGACCAAGTTCAGCTGTAGATACTGTTGTGATACACTGATGGCAATAGTAGATGTATACCATGTATATGTCATATATGTAAACGACTGCATACACTACCATGTAGTGTCCTGTTTTTGTCATGTTGATCGTGCAAAGAATGTTAACTTGTTACATCAGCAAGAGGCCTTCTGCCTTGTACAAAAAGAGTTTAAGTGTTTAAGTTATTTCTACAATGATGATTCATCATTGAATGATTGAAATAAACTTTTGAACTTATTGTCATTTAGTTTCTTTATTAGTGTGTTAGTCAACGAACAGGACTTACTTCGTGTAATAATTATAACATTTTTAGCTTCTCTGTAAAGTTTGGCTGTGCCTCAAAACACGAGAAATCGTGTTTATCAGACAACAAACGTGTGAGCTGATCCCCAGATTGTTTCCGTTTGGTAATGTTGAAATGATCGAAGACCTTATTTTAGCCTTCATTAAACTCTATTAGTATACTATATTTCCCATAACAACTTATCACATGAAGATTCCAAACTGTAGCATACATCAATTTCAAACTTGCCAAAAGTTTTCTTCCATTTGAAATACGGGCTTACATTGCACCCCATCATGGCACACTATGAACCATGTTACACAGTCTGACCACTTACATCATGATGGAGCCTCTGGCACCTCTTCCACATCCATGAACTAACTGTATATCTCAGGCAGCTATTGTGACAACCTGTTGAAATCATTTGTTGGTCTTTATGTTCTGGGAGACACCCAGGCGTTGTATGCTCATCGTGACAAAAGAGTGACAGTGCTGGTGATGGTTTTCTGCAGTTGGAGGGTTGTTCACACATATCACATTCGTTTATCCGAGCTCCTTTTGTCAGTGTTTCCATTCTGGCACTTGTTTCATTACTCCTTAAACAATCTGGGGACTCTTATCTTGTTCAGGGTAGTGGGTTAAAATGTTCGCTCGTCACGCCGAATAATAAGAATAATGCCAGATGCGATTCCCCTTTGCGAGTTCCCCTGGTTTTCTAGGTGATCCATTGATTTGCCGTTGCACGTGTTTATACCGGTGGGGCAGAATGCAAGCACCTGTCCAACAACTGCTTCATAGTGATCCATAAGCACAAGTATCTCATGTCGGAGTATTGCAATCAGTTTCTTAGGGGCCTTTCATAGTCCTAATATTTCGTTAATATTTCACATACTAAAATATAATAACTATGATGTTTGAAATTTATAAGAATTCACAAATGTACCTATGTTTTGAATTCTTACACTTCCAGATTGACACGCTGACAAATTTGTGATAATCCCACTAATAAGTCGGCGGTCAATCGGAAATGCGTCTGGCTAAATGAAACGGCAGCCTTTGTGTAAACAGTTATCTGTTGTGTACAATATGTCTGTGTCTGGCGACATGTTTTTACAACCCAACTAAGTTACTTTCCTTTGTGTAAAGAGAATCACAATATAGCTCTTCCTGCTTAAAGTCTTCTGTACAGGCGTGACAAACAATATCTTTTATTTAATGTTGAAGTATTTTTTTCCATCGACAAGGAAGTGCAACAATATTTTCAGGATTCCAATTGAGGGGAGCGCTCAGATTCCAGAGTGACATAGATATATACTCGTCTACCTGACCACGTGAATAAATCGAAATAAATCTGAGATACCACACGTAGTGTTATTTGTGTTACTACATGAACCATACGTTTGAATCAGAGTGTACAATTCAGGAGAATGTATTGAAAAACAAATGCGTTCGCAGTATAACCTACAAAACTCGTTTTTTTATGACCAAGAGAAATCTCTGTCCATAATGATGATTTCTTATCAAATCCGTGCCAATTGGAAGCTAGGCAGCAAGATAAGTTCATAATGTAAGTCAACATTTACATAATGATAAATTCATGTAGATTGCCCCGACAATGAGACAACTGCTACTGTAACAGCTCACGCTGAGAAAACACCACTCGCTGTGGAGTGTGAATATGTTTATTTCCGAGCATAAGAAAAATACCCTTAATAGATTCATTGGCAATTATATTATGAAAAAGGGAGAAAAACATGTAAGACATGATCACACTGAACAATAAATGAATACATTAATAACGAACATTTTTCCCTTTTAATTGTTTCACGTGGATAATAATACTGAGTTTGTAGTAGAGATTCAATAAGATGGATATATTCTCCATATGACAATAAAAAGTACATGTTTGACATTTCATATTCAAAATTAGCTCGCACGTCTATAAGACAAATAGACTCCTTTATATAACTCTGCCCGACAGCAACGTGATGTAAAACTCTAGTAATACAAAATCATCATATCTACACATCGAACACGCATCCATAATTAGCATATATCATGCACATCACATTCTTAGCAGTCAGTATCAGAGCACGCAAATTCTACTTACTAGGTAACTTCAAAAGAATTCACATGTGAATAAAATACTAGTAGAATACAACATTAGGTTTAAATACTTAACAGCCTAAACCAGTTTACCAAACTATAACATTTACAAAATGCTCTACAACTCTGGCTTGACCTCACATGTTCAGCTCTCAGAACACAATGGAAACCACAAGTCACCACCAGATGTTATCTTATTGAAGCATATGTTCCAATCAAAATCCTCAATATTATAACAAAGATCGCTCTAACATGAAACACACGTGATATGGATATTCATCAGCCTGGTCAACACAGAGAACAGGCACAGAGATTACCATGAAAAATACTGTTACCCACAAAACTGTAGATAACAAAAAGGAAATGTTTTTGAATAAATGTAAATTGACTTTTTAAATAAGACAAGCTACAAGGTATAGAATACAACGTGAAAACGTCACTGCTACACTAACACAGAAGGTACTAAGGTGTTGCAGTCTATGAACTTGAAGCCCGTATATGCTATGGTGTTTGTCCACGTGTACAAGCCGTGGAGTCAACAACATCCTCCATGCAGTTAGCACCTCTGCCTGAACTGTGACCTAAATTGAAACTGTTTACAAGTTTTGATGCTGAACTTTCCTTCAACTTTTGTTTTCAGTTACAAACAATGACGTGTTAGTCATCGATGCTTTCATTGGCTCCTTCCTGTCATATATAGCACATCTACAATTAAACAGTAGTAAATCACCATCCTCTCACGATGGCAACCATACGCTACATTGTCCACGATAAGGCTTTCACCCAGCTGGTCATTTCCGAGAAAAGTGTGAATTTCTTTGGTGTACAACAAAAACCTACAAATACATGGTAAGTGTCTTTTGTTGTCTAATGGCCGATAGTGTGAATATATTGGGTCCAGTTAACATTAACGAACGTTGTGACATAAGGCAGGGCTTGGATCAACGGTGCCATGAGCAATCAGTCATTTCACTTCATGACTAAAATATAAATGGTTGAAGTATTGTACTTTTCTGTCTTCAGTGAGCCGCAACAAGCTGCCGAGGTACTCTCTTTGGACCATCACGATGGTATGCTTCAAGACGTCTCGCGATTCATGCTGTGGTCATTTCTTGCCATCATCATGGCAACCTGGCTGTGGCGTCAGTATTACCAGCATGCGATGGATGCACGCAGCAAACTGCCCCTCCCACCAGGGTCCATGGGCTTTCCATTGGTGGGCGAGACACTCTCATTAATAACTAAAGTAAGTCATGCTTTATAAATTACTTTTACTGTTAAAACTAAATCGATCACTTGCCTGTTGAATCACATTTCACAGGTCACACCGCATTTCTAGGATATTGGACTTACGGGACTTAACTAAAAAGTACATTCACTTTCCCTTCAGGGCTCTGACTACTACCTATCTCGGCGGCAACAGTACGGAAACGTATACAAGACCCACCTTCTGGGACAGCCCACCATCAGAATCATCGGAGCTGATAATGTACGCCATATTTTGATGGGGGAGCACGTCAATGTTGAGGCCAGTCAGCCAAGATCTCTCCAACGTCTGCTGGGACCAGGTGGACTAACAAATGCAAGTCCTGACAGTCACAGGATCAGGAAGAAGCTACTCCTCCGGGCTTTGGCTCCTGCAGCTATACAAGGACATGTTCCAACAATTCAAAAACTTGTAAGAAACCATATTTTGGACTGGTGCAGCAAAGGGCAACAATTCGGAACAGATATTTGCAAACGCTTGGCAATGTCACTTGCTGCCAACGTCCTTATTGGATTTGACGTTGATGATCAGAACCTGCAGTCAATAATCAGCTCCTTCCAGACTTTCACGGGCAACTTGTTTTCACTGCCATGGGAACTGCCTGGATCAGGATTGTCCAAGGTATGTACAAAATAACTACGCATTGGGTACTGGTTATTTAGTCTCCTTCAGAGTTCCAGCCAGTGCATTGAGCAAATAACGTGTCATAACAATACAGTGAATACATATCTGAATGTACACATTGCTGCATTTGTATATCATTCAAAATCCATCCTTATTTTATCAATGAAGTTGACCTAAACCTTTCCTTTTGATATAGGGTCTAAGAGCACGAGAACAGCTGATAAAGGAAATTAAGAAAAGACTTCACAGGGAGACACAACAGTGGTCCCTCGTTGATGAACTGAAGAATCTTGATGAAACGGCTGCCTCACTCACCGCAGACGAAATGACAGACGCAGTCTTAGAACTATGGTTTGCAGGAAATGATACCAGTTCAAGCACGGCAAATTCAACACTACTGGCTTTAGGTAAAGATGATGGAGTTCGAAAACAAATCGAAGAAGAACTGGAAGAGAATGGACTATTAAGTTCTGAAGAAGAGCTGACTTTTGACAGTTTAAAGAAACTGACCTACGTTGATCACGTGGTGAAGGAGGTGCTCAGAGTGTATCCCCCTGTTGGTGGTGGATTCAGGAAGGTTAAGAAAACAATGGAGATTGAGGTAAATGTTTACTAAAACCAACAGTCACTTGTCTGAGTCATAAAATTCGGAAAATATTCCACCATACAAAAAATCTTATCCGCAAAGCGCTGTAAACACGATGAAGTTTGAAATGTTCATATTACTGAACGAAATTTTGCAACAACACATAGATTCCATGAGGCAAAATATCCTAATATTTTTCATCAATAACCAAATCCACATTTTCGTAAGAACAAGATCAGAATCTACAGTTTTCCTTAATACATAAAGCTGATAGCCAAGTCTCACTTAAAGCCCTATTAATATCACGACTAACATTGATATACATTCCTACAATCTTCCTATTTTCCATTCACAGGGCTACCAGATTCCAGAGGGCTGGACTGTGATCTACAGCATACGAGACACGCATCAAACAACCAAACTCTTTGACGACAAGGAGGAATTCAAACCTGAACGCTGGAATGAAATGGACGAAAAGACACGTGTGAGTGGCCAACGATTCAACTACATTCCTTTTGGAGCAGGTGCTCGTGCATGTCCAGGCGAAAGGTTTGCCAGGATGTTTGTGAAAATCTTTATTGTGGAACTCATAAGGACATGTACATGGGAACTCAAGAACAAAAGTCCTAAGATTACCTACTTTCCAGTAACAAAACCTTCAGATAATCTCCCTGTGACCTTTCACCTTCGTAAGGATGTTAACAAGAATGTGCAACAGAACGTCTAGATGTCCTTCAGTGGACAAAGATGATGGAGTTCGAAAACAAATCGAAGATGAACTGGAAGAGAATGGACTATTGAGTTCTGAAGACGAGCTGACTCTTGACAGTTTAAAGAAACTGAACTAAGTTGATCACGTGGTGAAGGAGGTGCTCAGAGTGTATCCCCCTGTTGGTGGTGGATTCAGGAAGGTTAAGAAAACAATGGAGATTGAGGTAAATTTTTACTATAACCAACGGTCACTTGTCTATCTGAGTCATAAAATTCGGACAACAAAATATATTCACCACACATAAAATCTTATCCGCAAAGCGCTGTAAACACGATAACGTTTGCAATGTTCATATTACTGAACGAAATTTTGCAATAACACACAGATTCCATGAGGCAAAATATCCTAATATTTTTCATCAATAACCAAATCCACATTTTCGTAAGAACAAGGTTAGAATCTACAGTTTTCCTCCATATGTAAAGGTGATAGCCAAGTCTCACTTAAAGCCCTATTTATATCACGACTAACATTGATATACATTCCTTCAATCTTCCTATTTTCCATCCACAGGGCTACCAGATTCCAGAGGGCTGGACTGTGATCTACAGCAAACGAGGAATTCAAACCTGAACGCTGGAATGAAATGGACGAAAAGACACACTTGAGTGGCCAACGATTCAACTACATTCCTTTTGGAGCAGGTGCTCGTGCATGTCCAGGCGAAAGGTTTGCCAGGATGTTTGTGAAAATCTTTATTGTGGACATGTACATGGGAACTCAAGAACAAAAGTCCTAAGATTACCTACTCTCAAGTAACAAAACCTTCAGATAATCTCCCTGTGACCTTTCACCATTCACAAGGATGTTAACAAGAATGTGCAACAGAACGTCTAGATGTCCTTCAATGGACAAACTTGGGAGCTTGCAACGCCAATTCACAGCTGGAACTGTGTAAAGGGCTTTTGAATTAAAGAGACCTCCAGAGACATGCTTACCACAAGTATTGATGGTGTACAGAGAGTTTAAGCCATCAGGAAGTTGTAACCACATATTATATATCTGACACTCCTCCCAAAACTTTATCTGCGAACTAGATTGTTTGGACACTTGTTGCGTTGACACACGCCCTAAAAGAACATAGTGGTGCAACGAGGTGGACCATTTAGTGAGTGTTGAGTAAGCTGTGTTATACTGTGTAAGTTGTGATGATATGATTCCATTTTCTATAGTTTCAAGTTCCTATATTTTGACAGATGCCTAGCCCTTAGTCAGCTTTCGTTTCGCATTAATGATTAAGGGGAAGGCATTTCCAACATACCGAGATCTTCAGATTACCAAAAGAAATTAAACAAAAAATATATATGTAGTTATCAAGTGAATACGTTGAGAACAACTGACAAGAGATACTTGATTTGCTCTTCCGTGTGTTTGTGTCGGTGTCACCGGTTGGCCATGTCCTACAGTTATGGATATGGGTGTTGTGGCATTTATTCAAAGCAGGGAATGGTATCGTTTCCAATATTTTGGTAACTGATTAGTGTCCAACGTGCTAAAGACTAACTTTTGTGATAACCTACAAGTTTCAGACTAAGTGGGCCAGTCATCATATGCCTGAGTGATCAAGCTTGAGTTGTAGATACTCTTGAGATACACTGATGGCAATAGTAGATGTATACCATGTATATGTCATATATGTAAACGACTGCATACACTACCATGTAGTGTCCTGTTTTTGTCATGTTGATCATGCAAAGAATGTTAACTTGTTACATCAGTAACAGGCCTTGTGCCTTGTACAAAAAGAGTGTAAATATATAAGTTATTTCTACAATAATGATACATCATTGCATGATTGAAATAAACTTTTGAACTTATTATCATTTAGTTTCTTTATTAGTGTGAAAGTCAGCGAGTAGGACTTACTTCGTGTAATAATTATAACATTTTTAGCTTCTCTGTAAAGTTGGGCTGTGCCTCAAAACATGAGAAATTATGTTTATCAGACAACAAACGTGTGAGTTGATCCCCAGATTGTTCCCGTTTGGTAATGTTGAAATGATCGAAGACCTTATTTTAGCCTTCATTAAACTCTATTAGTATACTATACTTCCCATAACAACTTATCACATGAAGATTTCAAACTGTAGCATACATCAATTTCAAACTTGCCAAAAGTTTTCTTCCATTTGAAATACGGGCTTACATTGCACCCCATCATGGCACACTATGAACCATGCTACACAGTCTGACCACTCACATCATGATGGAGCCTCTGGCACCTCTGGCACCTCTTCCACATCCATGAACTAACTGTATATCTCAGGCAGCTATTGTGACACCCTGTTGAAATCATTTGTCGGTCTTTATGTTCTGGGAGACACCCAGGCGTTGTATGCTCTTCGTGACAAAAGAGTGACAGTGCTGGTGATGGTTTCCTGCAGTCAGAGGGTTGTTCTCACATATCACATTCGTTTATCCGAGCTCCTTTTGTCAGTTTTTCCATTCTGGCACTTGTTTCATTACTCCTTAAACAATCTGGGGACTCTTATCTTGTTCGGGGTGGTGGGTTCAAGCATTCGCTAGTCACGCGGAACACCCGGCTTCGATTCCCCACATGGGCACAATGTGTGAAGCTCATTTCTGGTGTCCCCTGTCGTGATAATGCTTGAATATTGCTAAAAGCGGAGTAAAACCATACTCAATCACTCACCTTTAGCTTGTTTAATCCATATGTAAGGTGCGGTGTTCGCAGCCATCCTATGTGTGGCGTCTGTCTTTACCCGACCTTTGCGGACCCCATCTCTACTCATGTCTGCACTCAATCTATATGTGAAACCTCACCCCAGACTCTGTACTCTGTGTCCTCTATCTGCATCGCATTTATATATGTTTCCTGTCTTTAACCTGACTGGTGGCATATGGACCCGTGCAGACTGCTCAGGTCTCAAATCAGGTGAAGGTAATCAACTTTGGGTGCGGAGAGCCTCGGATGGATGACCGTGTTTGACTGCTTGACTCCTAAGGGTTTCTAGGACTTCAGTCCTGTCCCACAACCAAACACATGTGATAAATGTGGTCTCACCTTAGAAATGCCTCTGTTCACCCAGCAGAAAATGGGTACTCGGTGGGAAAAGTCATGTGACTATAACCTTCTAGCGCCTCACAGAACATATTCTTAAAGATCAATTTATCCCAAACTGGCACAATGACATCATTTCTAGTCCCAAGGGAATACACTATCAGCACCTAAAGCCATTTCACAATTTTGATGTACATCTCCTCCTTCCAAAACGCATTTCTTTACCATTATTGAGATTTAGAACATGTAACCATAGTTTACCTATTGAGATGGGCCGCAGGCATAATATTCCAAGGCGTGTCAACTATGCCGCAGGCCGCAGGCATCGCAGATGAATATCACTATATTTTTCATTGCAAAGCATTAGGTACTTTGAGGAAACAATATTTACCCTCCCATCTAACCTCTCTTCCCAATGAAACAAAGTTCACGAAATATTATCTGTAAAAACATCTCGAGACATAGTAAATCTATCAAAATATATCCTACATCTATCATCTCTTGTCAGAAAATAATGTTAATATGTTGTTTACTCCCATCTTGAATTTGAATTTCTATATATGTTTACAATATATGCTCTTGTACCACCAAGGTGGTTTATAAGAATATAGAATTGGCAGCTTGGGTTATCCGGGGTGATAAAGTGGTACCAATAAAGTACTGTGCAAGCGCTTGGAGCAGACACGTAGTGCTTGGAGTATTTAACACTAAAAAAATACACTCATTATTATTATAACATTTAAGGCATCCGTAAAGCTTCCAAAACGTTTTCTGGAAGACATGTGAAGGACGTTTCAAATTCTGATGCATCGGTGACAAGAATAATGCAGATGCGATTCCCCTTTGAGAGTTCCCCTGGTTTTTAGTTGATCAATTGATTTGCCGTTGCACGTGTTTATATCGGTGGGGCAGAATGCAAGCACCTGTCCACCAAAACACAATCTCATGCCGGAGTATTGCAATCAGTTTCTTAGAGGCCTTTTATAGTGCAAATATTTCATTAATATTTCACATATGAAATTATAATAACCATGATATTTGAACTTTATAAGAAATTCACAAATGTACTTATATTGTGAAACTTACACTTCCAGATTGACACGCAAACCAATTTGTGATAATCCCACTAACAAGTCGGCGGTCAGTCTGAAATGCGTCTGTCTAAATGAAACGGCAGCCTTTGTCATGCTTTTGTGTACACTATATCTGTGTCTGGCGACATGTTTTTACAACCTGAGTTACCCTCATTTGTGTAAAGAGAATCACAATATAGGTGCATTCGTGAATTCTTATAAATTTCAAATATCACAGTTATTATACTTTTATACGTGAAATATTAATGAAATATTTGCACTATAACAGGCGTGACAAATATGTCTCACTTTGAACTAATTTAAGTAAACGTCCTGAAGAAATGTTGTCGAATGAAATAGAAAATCACCGTTAAATCGCTTAACTGTACGAACCAAGAACATGTGTTCCCATTGAACCTTGCAAAACACATGAAGCACATCACTATAGAATAACACACAACATGTGTGAAAGGAGTGTGCTCTTGTAGCCAGGTTATAGCCTACAGTACTACCAGAATGGGGACAATGCATGTCGGCACAAACCGATGGAAGGACCTCTTCCTCAAAGCTCACCTATGTATCAACTAAACATGAATATCACGTCTTCTGCAGGAAGGCAATCTGTATGTTAATAAAACAGTTTGCACTTTAACATGTGGTGACTTTAGAAAAATATTTAATCTTTGTTCAATTGCATATTTCACTCAATTAAGGTCACGTTCGGTGAACGTAGTTTGGCAAAAGTTGTTCATGCATCATATGTCAATGGCGGACTTGAAAGCTAACGCTCTAACCACTAGGCTACCCAACTGTTGTTGACAAAAGGTTTGTGAAGAACCTGAACGGTGGAATCAAATGGACAAGAAATCTCACACGTTCCACTTCATTACCCCAAGAGCAGGTTGGGCACAGTATGTGAAGCCCTTTTATATTGCAGGAATATTGCTAAAAGAGGCGTAAAACTAAATTCACTCATTCTAGACCAGGTGCCCGAATAAGTCATGGGGAAAAGGTTACCAGTTTATATATGTAAACCTTTATTGTGGAGCTCATAACGACCTGAACATGAGAACTGAAACAAAATCCCTATAGTCTATAGATATTCTCCCTCTAAAGTTACACCTCCAACAGGATTTAATAAAGCTGTGCACTGAAACTGAACTTGCGCATGTGTATTTTCAAGTTGAGAGACATCTAGATTGTACAGACAAAGTTACCCGAGTTGCTGCTTTTCCAAGATACGTTAAAGCACTCCATTAACTAACTGTGTATATAACATTATAGAACAAGTTTTTATAGATAACTACTTCTTTATTTCGTGAGTGCGACGTTTCGATACAGATTCTTGTACCGTTGTCAAGCAAGAGTGATACATGAAGTGTGGGAGCTGCATATATATACTGTATATAACAATGAAACAACATAATTGACAAAGGAAACAACATAATTGTCATAATTGGTTAAGCAGTAAGCTGATGAAGCCAGTGAGTACACAAAGGATAGTGAATGGAAGCCAGAGATTTATAAATACAGGAGTAGTTACAATGATATGTTTATACAATAGGTGCGATGTTTATACAATAGATTGGGCTTGGTGAAGGAGTGGATCATAAGCTGAGGGAATGAAGTATCCTTGGTCACGGTTGATGGTGGGCTTATGGCGTTTGACAACGGTACAAGAATCTGTATCGAAACGTCGCACTCACGAAACAAAGAAGTTGTTATCCATAAAAACTTGTTCTATAGTGTACGTCTCAACTTCTAAAATGCCACTCACTAAAATGCCACTCAAACAAGTTGTGTATATAACATACAGAAAATATAAGTACATATTACCGCATAATACATAACAGATGTTCAAGGACAGGATCGTCTTCTGTACAGGCGTGACAAACAATATATTTTATTTAATGTTGAAGTATTTTATTTCCATCGACAAGAAACTGCAACTATATTTTCAGGTTCGCAATTGAGGGGATGTGTCTATCCAGTTATCGACAATGATGTCAGCTATCAATGCCCTATTTGGTGAACGGTACACAAGTACAAACATGTTTTGTGATGTCGGAAATGGGTTTTCAATTGTTCCGGAGTTACGTACAGAAACTAAGATACCACACGTAGTGATATTTGTCTCATTAATGTTCGATTAAAACAAAGTGTACAATTCAGGAGAATGTATTGAAACACAAATGTGTTCGCAGTACAACCTACAAAACTCGTTTCATGACAAAGAGAAATCTCTGCCCATAATGATGGTTTCTTTCATAATTCGTCCCAGTTGGAAGCTTGGCATCATGATAACTTCATAATTTAAGGCAACATTTACAAAATTCTCAATTCCTGTTGATTGCCCAGATAATGATACAACTCCTAATACAGAAGGTGCTAAGGTGTTGCAGTCTATGACCTTGAAGCCCGTATATGCTTTAAGATACTTCCAGAAGTCATGGTGCTTGAGACCGCAGCCATATACCAGGAATATTGCTGAGTGCAACGTTAAACTCAACTCACTCACTCACTCACTCACTCACTCATGGTGTTTGTCCACGTGTATAACCCGAGCAGTCAACAACGTCCTCCATGGAGTTAGCACCTCTCCCTGAACTGTGACCTAAATTGAAACTGTTTACAAGTTTTGACGCTGAACTTTGGTTCAACTTTTGTTTTCAGTTACAAACAATGACGTGTTAGTCATCGATGCTTTCATTGGCTCCTTCCTGTCATATATAGCACATCTACAATTAAACAGTAGTAAATCACCATCCTCTCACGATGGCAACCATACGCTACATTGTCCACGATAAGGCTTTCACCCAGCTGGTCATTTCCGAGAAAAGTGTGAATTTCTTTGGTGTACAACAAAAACCTACAAATACATGGTAAGTGTCTTTTGTTGTCTAATGGCCGATAGTGTGAATATATTGGGTCCACTTAACATTAACGAACGTTGTGACATAAGGCAGGGCTTGGATCAACGGTGCCATGAGCAATCAGTCATTTCACTTCATGACTTAAACATAAATGGTTGAAGTATTGTACTTTTCTGTCTTCAGTGAGCCACAACAAGGTGCCGAGGTACTCTCTTTGGACCCCCACGATGGTATGCTTCAAGACGTCTCGCGATTCATGCTGTGGTCATTTCTTGCCATCATCATAGCAACCTGGCTGTGGCGTCAGTATTACCAGCATGCGGTGGACGCACGCAGCAAACTGCCCCTCCCCGGGGTCTATGGGCTTTCCATTGGTGGGCGAGACACTCTCATTAATAACTAAAGTAAGTCATGCTTTATTAATTACTTTTACTGTTAAATCTAAATCGATCACTTGCCTGCTGAATCACATTTCACAGGTCACACCGCATTTCTAGGATTTTGGACTTACGGGACTTAACTAAAAAGTACATTCATTTTCCCTTCAGGGCTCTGACTACTACCTATCTCGGCGGCAACAGTACGGCAACGTATACAAGACCCACCTTCTGGGACAGCCTACCATCAGAATCATCGGAGCTGATAATGTACGCCATATTTTGATGGGGGAGCACGTCAATGTTGAGGCCAGTCAGCCAAGATCTCTCCAACGTCTGCTGGGACCAGGTGGACTAACAAATGCAAGTCCTGACAGTCACAGGATCAGGAAGAAGCTACTCCTCCGGGCTTTAGCTCCTGCAGCTATACAAGGACATGTTCCAACAATTCAAAAACTTGTAAGAAACCATATTTTGGACTGGTGCAGCAAAGGGCAACAATTCGGAACAGATATTTGCAAACGCTTGGCAATGTCACTTGCTGCCAACGTCCTTATTGGATTTGATGTTGATGATCAGAACCTGCAGTCAATAATCAGCTCTTTCCAGACTTTCACGGGCAACTTGTTTTCACTGCCATGGGAACTGCCTGGATCAGGATTGTCCAAGGTATGTACAAAATAACTACGCATTTGGTACTGTTTACCGTATTTAGTCTCCTTCAGAGTTCCAGCCAGTGCATTGGGCAAATAACGTGTCATAACAATACAGTGAATACATATCTGAATGTACACATTGCTGCATTTTTATATCATTCAAAATCCATCCTTATTTTATCAATGAAGTTGACCTAAACCTTTCCTTTTTGATATAGGGTCTAAAAGCACGAGAACAGCTGATAAAGGAAATTAAGAAAAGACTTCACAGGGAGACACAACAGTGGTCCCTCGTTGATGAACTGAAGAATCTTGATGAAACGGCTGCCTCACTCACCGCAGACGAAATGGCAGACGCAGTCTTGGAACTATGGTTTGCAGGACATGATACCAGTTCAAGCACGGCAAATTCAACACTACTGGCTTTAGGTAAAGATGATGGAGTTCGAAAACAAATCGAAGAAGAACTGGAAGAGAATGGACTATTGAGTTCTGAAGAAGAGCTGACTTTTGACAGTTTAAAGAAACTGACCTACGTTGATCACGTGGTGAAGGAGGTGCTCAGAGTGTATCCCCCTGTTGGTGGTGGATTCAGGAAGGTTAAGAAAACAATGGAGATTGAGGTAAATATTTACTAAAACCAACAGTCACTTGTCTGAGTCATAAAATTCAGGAAACAAAATATTCCACCATACAAAAATCTTATCCGCAAAGTGCTGTAAACACAATGAAGTATGCAATGTTCATATTACTGAACGAAATTTTACAATAACACATAGATTCCATGAGGCAAAAAATCCTAATATTTTTCATCAATGACCAAATCCACATTTTCGTAAGAACAAGATCAGAATCTACAGTTTTCCTTAATACGTAAAGCTGATAGCCAAGTCTCACTTAAAGCTCTATTTATATCACGACTAACATTGATATACATTCCTACAATCTTCCTATTTTCCATTCACAGGGCTACCAGATTCCAGAGGGCTGGACTGTGATCTACAGCATACGAGACACGCATCAAACAACCAAACTCTTTGACGACAAGGAGGAATTCAAACCTGAACGCTGGAATGAAATGGACGAAAAGACACGTGTGAGTGGCCAACGATTCAACTACATTCCTTTTGGAGCAGGTGCTCGTGCATGTCCAGGCGAAAGGTTTGCCAGGATGTTTGTGAAAATCTTTATTGTGGAACTCATAAGGACATGTACATGGGAACTCAAGAACAAAAGTCCTAAGATTACCTACTTTCCAGTAACAAAACCTTCAGATAATCTCCCTGTGACCTTTCACCTTCGTAAGGATGTTAACAAGAATGTGCAACAGAACGTCTAGATGTCCTTCAGTGGACAAAGATGATGGAGTTCGAAAACAAATCGAAGAAGAACTGGAAGAGAATGGACTATTGAGTTCTGAAGACGAGCTGACTCTTGACAGTTTAAAGAAACTGACCTACGTTGATCACGTGGTGAAGGAGGTGCTCAGAGTGTATCCCCCTGTTGGTGGTGGATTCAGGAAGGTTAAGAAAACAATGGAGATTGAGGTAAGTTTTTACTATAACCAACGGTCACTTGTCTATCTTAGTCAAGAAATTCGGACAACAAAATATATTAACTAAACATAAAATCTTATCCACAAAGAGCTGTAAACACGATGAAGTTTGCAATGTTCATATTACTGAACGAAATTTTGCAATAACACACAGATTCCATGAGGCAAAATATCCTAATATTTTTCATCAAATAACCAAATCCACATTTTGGAAAGAACAAGATCAGAATCTACAGTTTTCCTTAATACGTAAAGCTGATAGTCAAGTCTCACTTAAAGCCCTATTTATATCACGACTAACATTGATATACATTCCTACAATCTTCCTATTTTCCATTCACAGGGCTACCAGATTCCAGAGGGCTGGACTGTGATCTACAGCATACGAGACACGCATCAAACAACCAAACTCTTTGACGACAAGGAGGAATTCAAACCTGAACGCTGGAATGAAATGGACGAAAAGACACGTGTGAGTGGCCAACGATTCAACTACATTCCTTTTGGAGCAGGTGCTCGTGCATGTCCAGGCGAAAGGTTTGCCAGGATGTTTGTGAAAATCTTTATTGTGGAACTCATAAGGACATGTACATGGGAACTCAAGAACAAAAGTCCTAAGATTACCTACTTTCCAGTAACAAAACCTTCAGATAATCTCCCTGTGACCTTTCACCTTCGTAAGGATGTTAACAATGTGCAACAAAACGTGTAGATGTCCTTCAATGGACAAACTTGTGTTTCTTCAATGCCAATTCACAGCTGGAACTGTGTAAAGGGCTTTTGAATTTAAGAGACCTCCAGAGACATGCCTACCACAAGTATTGATGGTGTACAGAGAGTTTCAGCCATCAGGAAGTTGTAACCACATATTATATATCTAACACTCCTCCCAAAACGTTATCTACGGGCTAGATTGTTTGGAAACTTGTTGCGTTGACACAAGACATAAAAGAACAGTGATGCAACGAGGTGCACCATTTAGTGAGTGTTGAGTAAGTTGTGTTATATTCTAACTACAGAAATAGTTCATCAGTATCACAGAAGGTTTAAATCTACATCTAGTGCCATTTACAAATTTCCGTCGTTCAAAGAAATCATATATTGATGTTTTTGGCCATTTTCTCCCTCCAGTTTAAATTGTAGAAACACGTATCAGTTAATAGTTCAAAATGCCTAGCCCTTCGTCAGCTTTCTTTTTGCATCAATGATTACGGGAGAGTATTTCCAACATACCACAGCCTTCACATTACTAAAGTTTTCAAGTGAATATGCTGAGAACAACGTTTGTTGGTGTCCGTTCCAAGGCTAGGCATTTCCAACAAGTTTGGAAACGGATTTTGTCCCACCTACAAAATCTAACGTTTAGAGAAATCAGATGGAAAGAAGATATGATTCCATTTTCTCTAGCTTCAATTTCGTATCTGTTGACAGATGCCTAGCCCTTGGTCAGCTTTCCTTTCGCATTAATGATGTGGAAGGCATTTCCAACATACCACGATCTTCAGATTACCAAAACGACTGCATACACTGCCATGTAGTGTCCTGTTTTTGTCATGTTGATCATGCAAAGAATGTTAACTTGTTACATCAGTAACAGGCCTTCTGCCTTGTACAAAGAGAGTGATACATCATTGAATGATTGAAATAAACTGTTGAACTTATCGATATTCAGTTTCTTTATTAGTGTGTTAGTCAGCGAAAAGGACTTACTTTGTGTAATAATTATAACCTTTTTAGCTTCTCTGTAAAGTTGGGCTTTGCTTCAAAACATGAGAAATCATGTTTATCAGACAACAAACAAGTGAGATGATCCCTAGATTGTTCCCGTTTAGTAATGTTGAAATGGTTTAACCTCATATTTTAGCCTTCATTAAACTCTGTTGGTATATTTCCCATTACAACTTATGACATGAAGATTCCAAACTGGCGCATACATCAATTTCAAACTTGACAAAGTTTTCTTCACGTTTTATTCCAAACATTGAGGGTCACATATCACAATTACTCATTAAAACACTCTGGGGACTCTTGTCTTGTTCGGGGCGATGGGGTAGCCTAGTGGTTAAAGCATTCGCTCGTCACACCGAAAGCCCGGGTTGAATTAACCACATGGGTACAATGTATAAAGTCTATTTCTGGTGTTCCTTGCCGTGATATTGCTGATATATTGCTAAAAGCGTTTTAAAACTATACGGACTCAGTCACTCTCAGTTTGTTCAATCCATATATAGGGGTTCGGTGTTCGCAGCCATCCTATGTCTGGTGTCTGTCTGTACCAAACCTCTGTAGACCCCGTCTGTACTCCCGTCTACACTCAGTCTGTTAGACTAACGCTCAGTCTCTGAATATATATAATTTTGATAGTAACAAACAAGCCCATTTAAATTGAAAAGGGGCCCCAGGGCGACCAGAGATTCAGAACCTGAACCCGAGGAAATCTAGACTTGCTTTATTTAGGGCTTTAGCACTGCAGATAGGGCTTGGCAGTTGGTAAAATAATGTGGTTCAGGGACTGTGAGACAGACTATCAATCTGTATGTGAAACCCCAGACTCTGTACTCTGCATCCTCTGTCTGCACCGCATTTATCTATGTTTCCTGTCCTTAACCTGTCTTAACATATAGGGCATCGGTAAAGCTTCCAAAACTTTTTCTCTAAGACATGTGAAGGACGTTTCAAATTCTGATGCATCGGCAACAATAACGCCCGAGGCAATTCTTCGATCCATAAACATATGCTCATGTCGAAACATTACAATCAAGTTCTTATGGGCGTGAAAAATAAGTCTCACTTTGATCTGATTTAAGAAAAACGTCAAACAAATCAACAAAACCCCTTTGATTGCTTCACTGTCCAAACATGGCGCATGTGTTCCCATTGAACCTTGCAAAACACATGAAGCACATAACCATAGAATAACACACAACATGTGTGAACGCAGTGTGTTCTTGTAGCCAGGTTATAGCCTACAGTACTACCAGAACGGGGACAATGTATATCGGCACAAACCGATGTTACATCATCGATAACAGAAATAGCACCTCTTCCTGAAACTCACATATACAAAAAGAACTTAATTAAAAAAGCCTGTATTTTTGCAATGATAGGTTTCTAACACCTACACAAAACTTCTCGTAATAATCACGATGGAAGAACAATTTTTTGACCTGTATGATCATTTGACTAATAACAAACGACAAAATGAATGGAATCAATGTTGAATTTATTACGATAATTGTTCATTTTAAAAAACAATGATTTTCATACAAAACCATGTCTGTATAAGTTTTAACTGGAATGTTTAATGTTGAATTTATTGGTAAATGTGAACATTCAAAGTGTCATTTTGCGTGTCTTAGACGATTCGAAGCCAGTACCGAGTGTAACCTCGATGTGATTTTATGACAGCAAGCACTCTCCTCCTCATACACCCTGTCAGCCTCCTGATCCTGTGAAGGGGCAGTCTACGCCATTCCTCGTGTAAAGCAGCTTCCAATTGGTTTTTTGTACAGGAGGATCCCTTGTTGCACATGACGACCAATCATGTCCCAGATATACTCCAAAGGGTTAAGATCGGGGCTCATTTAATATATCAGGGTGTGCTTAACTAAGTTCTTTGTGAATATTAGCCATGAACACCACGCCCTCTGATGCAGGAAGGCAATCTGTACGTTATTAAAACATTTTCTACTAAAATATATTGCGGCTTTAGAATAATGTTTGTTCATCTGCGTTGTGTTACCATGCTATTCCGTCATCCTCACATATTTCACTTATTTAAGATCACGTCCGAAATAAACAAGTGTATTATCACTTACTGTCCATGTTAAGACATGAATATTTACTATGAATGTGAAAAAAGTTCACTCCAAATTTACATGTTAACAAACTTTTCCGTTAACTTTTACATGTATGTTCATAAATATTTGTCGATGTACTGAAAACGTCATGGCCGACGTGACTTTTTGCCGTTGCAACCTAACTTTCTACTGTTTACAAAAAGATGAGGCTGAACTGAAGTTTAACTTCTGACTTCATTTTCGGTCAATGACGTCAAATGTTTGTATTCCCTCCTATTTGTTGTGTGTATAACACACCTGCAGCTAGTGATTAACAAAACCCCTCCTTTCACGATGGCAATAGTACGTTACCATAAGGCGTTCAACAAGCAAAAATTTTATATTCGGTGAATGTGGCTTGCTACGTGTTTCTCATGCATCATATGTCAATGGCGCACTTGGTCGATGACCGAAAGCTCTAACCACTAGGCTACTCAACCCACAAAAGTTTGTGAAGAACCAGTACGCTGGAATTAAATGAACAAGAAGCCACATCAAAGTTGAAACACGTTCCACTCCATTCCTCCTAGACCAGGTGCCCGAATATGTCTTGGTGAACAGTTTACCAGGTTACATATGTAAACTTTACTTGTGGAGCTCATAACGACTTGCACATGAGAACTAAACAAAATCCCTGTTGTCTATAGATATTCTCCCTCTAAAGCAACACCTCCAACAGAATTTGAAAAAGCTGTGCAAGGAAGCTGAAATTGTGCATGGGTATTTTCAAGTGAAGAGTGAGTGAGTGAGTTTGGTTTTACGCCGCTTTTAGCAATATTCCAGAAACATCACGGCGGGGGACACCAGAAATGGGCTTCACACAATGTACCCATGTGGGGATTCGAACCCGGGTCCTCGGCGTGACGAGCCAACGCTTTAACCACTAGGCTACCCCACCGCCCCTTCAAGTGAAGAGACCTCTAGACTTTGTACAGACAAATCTACCCGAGTTCCTGGTTTTTCCAACATATATGTTATAGCCATCCATTGACTAAACAATATATATAATCTGCAGAATATATAGGTTTGATGCATCACATATTACCACATAAAACATTATAAAATATATCAGGAGTTCAAGGACAGGATCGTCTTCAAAGTTCTTCCTGCCGTGCTTAAACTCTGCTGCCTACTTCTTAATGGTGGCATAGGAATTGAAATCTGTGAATGGCTTTTGATGTGTTAATGTTATTTATGCTCAGCACAAGTGTAAAGAGTCAAAAGAACGGGATACTGGGAACCTTCTTCACCTTAAATAAAGCAACTAGGTTCTAAGCAGTGACTTACCAATCTTTGGTAATTCCATGCTATTTTTTATAAGGTGCTGACAAAACCAGAAACGTAATGAGGTCCAAACCGGATTAAAAGCCACAAATATTTTGGGTATGAATATGTAAGTTTATTAAATGACCATTGAAACTCTCGTGAAAATGAAGTGTGCACCCCTCCTTTCTCAAAAGTGTGCACAAACATTCAACACTGAACAATGAGTGAAGAAGTTGAACCATCCAATCCAGCTGCACATTAAATATAGGAAATCCTATATATATATATAAGTATGAAATATGGAACACTAACGGAGTCACTATGATTTTATTGTCACAGCTGATATCTGACAAAGTATTCAACATGAAAGTCTTTTTTAATGAACCGCTTCAACAACACAGTTAACGTTCTGAAAACATGAAACAAGATACTTTCTAAATGTTCAGCACATTCATAACCATGGAACTATGTCACACACAGAGATATTCTTCTTTTACCTTCTTTTCTTCAACAGCCTCATAAAACTCAATCTGCTTTGTCCTTTCACATATAGATATACAAAAAGATCAGTATCTCCTTCAATACCTAACAAAGTCATTGTCTTCTTCCTCCTCATAGGCAAAATATTTGTCTCTGAATCTCCTGATGTCCCTTCCTGGAAGCTTGTGTCTCAGAGCACTGAAGCTGAAATAGATGTAGGACAGATGAAGGACAAACACGTCCATTTCATAAGGCGAGCATCGGACAATCTCACTACAAATGTTCAGGAGCCAACAGTAGGACTTAGGGCGGTATAACTCCAAAGGCTTCTTTCTGTCATCTAAAAGAACCTTCTTAAATATCACAAAGTTCTTGCTAGCACAAATATGTCCTTTCATGACTTCAGCCATCTTGATGTGTGGAATGTGAAGCTTCTCATTCAACTCCATCTTGGTCAACACATGTCTCACAGCTTGCTTTACAGCCGACTTCTTTTTTTTAGGTTTCTGAGGCAAACAGTTATCAAATGAGTCAACGGACATGGACTCAGTGCCACTGCACAGTGAACTATCATCATCACCACCTCCGCCTTCAAAATCCTCTTCATCCTCAGATTCCATGCATGAGCTGTAGATAGTGTCGTCTGACAATCCATGACGGTCAAGGTCGTCCAAAAATGTTGTTGGGGTTGTGATGTGTTTCATGCTGCTACATATGAATTTACGACTGTCGTTTGATATCGATCTTTCCTTGTCTTCATGACCTTCTCCTCCATCACGACCTTCACCTTGTACAGTATCAGAAGACTTCTCCATCTTCTCACGTACTAATTTGAAAGGATGAGCTAAGTCTTCCTTTGTTGTCTGCTGGTAGCGATTCTCGTCAACTACAAAACAAATCACTAACTTAGTAACTGGAAAGAGCTTTATGTAACATGTTTACATGAGAGATCATCTATCAGGATGCCAGGTAAGAGTGAGTGAGTGAGTGAGTGAGTTGAGTTTACCCTTTCGCCACACTCAGCAATATTCCAGCTATATGGCGGCGGTCTGTAAATATTCAAGTCTGGACCTGACAATCCAGTGATCAATAGCAAGAGCATCGATCAATTGGCAACCAATGACATGTGTGAACCATGTCAGCGAGCCTGACCACCCGATCCCATTAGTTGCCTCTTACGACACGAATGGGTTACTGAAGGTCAATATTCTAACCCTGACCTTCATGGGTTGCCAGGTAAGAAAAGGTCCCTACAACATTCTTGTGAGTGAGTGAGTGCATTGGGTGTTACGCAACTTTTAGCAATATTCCAGCAATGTTATGATGTGGGAAACCAGAAATGGGACTTCACACAATGTACCCATGTGAGGAATAAAACCTGGGTCTTTGGCGTGAGGAACAAACGCTTTAACCACTAGGCTATTTCACCGCCCCAGCAAATTTTCTGAGCTGATTGAAATGGGATTGCCATAAGACATAGCTCATAATGCCATTGAAGCCACTGGTTTGTCTAGCCTCTATGTATTTAAAGATATATTTGTGACATAGCTGTTGTTTTAGAAAAACAACAAAAAGAGACCGTTAGAAAACCTTCTGAGAACCCTGCATACTACATTCTTGCTAAAATACATGATCAAAACTAAACACCTTCATAAACTTCATAATGAGACAAAGAAACATCATCTGATCATGCAATTAATAACACTTCGTGACCTCTGTACTAACAGTCTGCTCTTGTTGATATATTATGCATACAAATACTTTGTAAAAACAATCGTAATGTTTGGAACATAAGCGTTAAAGCATAAGTGCGGACTAGAATCAATATTTTATCAGGAGTGTAATGGTTGCCATCACAGCTGGCACAACAATAGGCTTTGTAGTGGTGTGCTCAGCAGAAAGAACTCACACTCTGTCTTTGACAACAGTGAATACCTGTGTTTGAGCAAGATACGAATCAGGTCACAAACTATAACCATCTAATCTATTTCATGAGGTGTTATCATGTGATATTTGTAGTCCATCCCTGTCAAAACATATTTTAAAGTCAATGAGGCCATAAAACACAGCCTTCGTAAAGAAGTTCAAGATGTAGCATAAAAGATTCAACTTTGAGGACATACCTCCCTTCGGAGATCTGTAGTAACGTGGAGCACGGCGACGGTGCTGGTTGGATTTGAAGTAGCTCTCAAGCAGGATATCGATATTGTTCACATCTGTCAGATCACTGATGGAAATTACAAGTGATTATTGTTTTCATCTTCAAAACCATTACAAGGAGGATAACAAACGTATATAATACATAATAATAATAATAATGGATATTTTTAGCGCGCCATTTTCCACCCACTGATACATGCTCAAGGCGCTACATAAAAGCATACATACAATGCATACAGAGGATAAAATAGCAAAATAAATATACATTGAAATTGATGACAGAAAGATTGATTTTAGGGATAGGCTTTGGAAAAAAAGAAAGTCTTCAACTTAATTTTGAAAGTTTCCAATGTGCATGACTGCTTTATGTGGAGAGGGAGAGAATTCCACAGAGTAGGACCAGCGTACTGGAAAGACCTCTTGCCAAAAGATGAAAGGAGAACTTTGGGGACGGAGAGAAGACATTGGTCTTGAGATCTGAGAGCTCTGGTAGGGGAGTACACAGTGAGAAGTTCAGAGAGATATGAAGGAGCTTGATTATGCAAACATTTATACACAATGCAAAGAAGTTTGAAGTCAATCCTGAACTTGATTGGAAGCCAGTGTAATGATGAGAGTACAGGGGTGATATGGTCTCGTTTAGTGGTAAGGGATATAATACGTGCTGCTGTATTTTGGACTTTTGGGAGTTTATTGAGATGTCCGTTGGTGAGTCCGTATAGAAGGCTATTACAGTAATCCAATCTGGATGTTACAAGGCATCTCACAAGAGTGTGGGCACTTTCCATTGTGATGTGCTTCCTAATCGTCCCAATGAGTCTGAGGTGGTAATAGCAGGTATGACACAACTTATCCACATGCGAATCTAGAGACAGGCCCGAATCAATATAAGCACCAAGATCTTTTATCAAAGCTGACCATGATGACCATAAAACTGATTTCACAAGAATATGAGTCACTGGCACTGCACTTAACCTGACTATGTAGTGGACAGCTTAACATGTCAATGGAGGCAAATGACAAATTGGTGTAAGCATAGATATTCAAATACTGTTTGCACTTTTATTGTCACTATTAACTAACACTAGAGTCTGATGATTTAAACAAACCAAATGTCATCCTAAGACATACACCACTGTTCATCTTCCTCAGTTCATCATTCTCACCAGAAATAGGCTTCACACATTGTACCAATGTTGGCAATCAAACCCAGGTCTTCAACGTGATGAGCGGACGCTTTAACCATTGGGCTACCCCACCAGCCCATTCTCAAAAGCGAATTTTACAGAAGCCATATGCTTGGAGAATGATCATTATCTCCACTATTAATAACACATACATGAGATTTCATTCCATTGATAATAGTAATACTTTCATATCATTGATAATCGTAATAACATAATTCACCAGTTAGCTTGTAAGGTAGTCATATTAGCATGGTCAAGTGGGTCAAACAAAGGGTCAATGTAAAATATCACCTATAGAATGTCCTTGAAAGTATGTAACACTCACACATGACTGAAGAGAGAGACATGTTCTGGACATTCAGCCCGCTTCTCGGTTAGGTGGGTCTTCCAGTCCTCAAACACAAACAGCTCATGTCCTGAAACAACACAACTTCTCGATGTGATGTCCCATGCTTTGACAAGCAAGTTATTGCACAGAAGTTTGTCTCATGTGACTGATTCTACAGGAAGGAGGCCAAAGTACGAATCAAAATTACATCTCAGTTTCCACTTACAGACAAAACTTTAGCAGATTCCAGAATAGTAAAAGTAACCAATGCTGAATGAGGAGGCCATCTATTTGGGATTGGGGGCCTGACTGGGTTGCTTGTTGTTGGACCACGACTACATGCAGGCTGCAGTGACTATTACTAGCACTTGCCTTAATTCACTCCCTCACTCACTCAGTTGATGTAAGGCTGATTTATTGGGCCACAGTCAAATGTAAATACTTTTGTTGCTGGTACCTCTCATTCAAATACTGACTTTCGAAACAAGCATGTATTGCACTCTTTCCATCCTTTTCGGTAATATTTCATAAATATTACACAGTACAGTACATGAATTGGAACCAATCTGAACTAAGCAGACATTTGTCAACAAGCATGAGTGAGTGTGTTCAGTTTAACGACACTTTCGACAGTATTCCAGTTATTTCACAGTATTCCAGTTATATCACATTATTCTTGTTATGTCATAGTATTTAACTTATAACACAGTATCCTAGTTATATCGTAGTATTCAAGTTATGACACAGTATTCCAGATATATCATAATGTGTCAGCATAACATGGGAGGAAACCCTGGTTTCAGACATTTACCACTTGCGGTGACATCCAGTAGGAAGTGTATGGGGCTGACAAACTCAGAAGCATAATTGGGATGAACGAGGATTAAACCCACAATCATTGGTTCTTGTGTGCCCAAGGGGCACAACTCTGTACAGAGTTGATCATTAGTGTTGTGTTACTTACTGTTTTGAATTAGTTGCTTGATTTCACTTGAATATTCTGACAGTTTCCTGAATGAACAAACACAATAAAATAATCAGCAAGTGTTTGTTATTTCCTATTGCAGTCAGCAACATCAGAGATATATCATTGTTGGGACCAGCCAAACCTTGCCTGAGTTCAATGGTCACAGGTCTATGATCACAGAAAACTGACATTAACTTCAAAAGCTGCAATAACATTTCAATTTCATCAATGTCATCGTAAAATTTATCAATGTCAAGGCCTACTCAGTACAAATGGTTAATATGTCAGACAAGTACACTGAATTTTTGCATGTCCAATACGAAGTGTTCCCAATGCCAAAAAAGAATTGTTGTGGAATGACATCATTTTCTTTCTAAGTACCATGCCATCTAGACCTAAAAGAGTGCACTATTAAGTGTATAAGTGTGCTGGGGGGGGGCACATTAAAATTTCATAATTCAAGTTTGAAGCCAGACCTTGAAGAAAGCCTGAGAAAAGTCACATCCAAATTGGCATCCAATTACGTCACTTTTACAGCAAGCATGAGGTTATTATGATTCTTCAAACACAATGGTACCCACACTTCTGTGATGTCATCAAGCCCAAAATACAGTTTGAGAGTCAGGATGATGTATGCCATAGCAAGACCATCGAAGAAGGGAAGACCTGCAGCTGCTCCTTTAGCCTTAGGGGAGAACTGGCACTGTGGGGGGTGCTTAGATACCAGAGACATCACTAGCCCATGGAACTCTCCTGAAACAGAAAGATGGTCGGGTCACCAGGGTAAATACTTACAAAATATGTCTTCATATTTTTTGTTTAAGAGAACTTTTGCATTTGGTTGTCTGATTGTCTGAACTTATCTGAACCATCTCAAAGGTATTACTCCATTAAGATTTTGCCAATGAACCGAAGGAAAGATCAAAGGGAACCGTCATTGTGGGAAGCAGGTATGGGATATGTTTTATATACCCTGAAGAGATTGTCTGACAGCAACAGGTTATCACTACTAGACCTGTGTGCAGATCGAGTCATCAGACTCACGGACTTGGATACTGCAGGTCATTGTATCCCAATTATGTAGATCTGTGCTCTTGATGTCAATCACTAGAGTGTATGGTCAGGACTCAGTTATAACCTAACTGTCATCATGTCCCTGGGAAATTGCTGTGTCAGCATTAAATGACAAGTAAAACCTGTGTGCATATGGGTAACATCTGTGGTAGCACCTCACCTGGGAGATCCAGCATCAGGATGTATTTGCTGATGAGCTCACTGACAGGTACCTCCCGGGAGGATGCTGATTCCAAGGAAGTGTGCCATGTTACCTGTCTGGTACCTCAGGGCATGAGGCTTAGGTATTTCCTGAAAGCCACATGAGCATGAGTGTGTGTGTGATTGCAAACAACACGCTAGATGTGTACACTTGGAAGTCATATCATTATCATTGTTTGATCGGCACTGAGTCAAAAATGAAGCATGCCACTTTATGGATAATTGTTTATTGCATAGAGTGACATTTCGTTGAAGATACTTTAGCATATGTCGAAATAACCCATATCAGCCTAACTGGGAGTTCAGTGGGATGCGTAATAGGATATCCAGAAAAGCATGTTTACTCGTAAAATCAGGCAAAACTTTGAAAAAATATGAATAGCTGCTGAAAACAAAAGATCAGACTATAGATGGCAATTAGGTCGCTCAACCAGGTATGACGACGGACCGTGACTCACTTGGCATAGAATGCACGTGCTGCCCACAGACACAAGGGGTCATCTCAAATATATTTTATGCTTTTTCATGTGTATTGAATGTGTCTCTACTGATTATCTTATCTTAGCTAATATCTCTATCCCCAAGCCCGACCCCAACTACCGTCAGCAACACCCTTCTTGGTTTTGCTTTTGAGACAACCCCTCCTACCTGTACCTTTTATAGTGATAGTGAGACTCAATGGTATCTACATCCTTAATAGTTTCAGCATTAAAGTTAATATTTTTTACGTCTGCTATCGTTTATAATGAAGCTTAGTCTAATTTCAAAATGGTCATTGAAAAAGTGTCATTTGTTATACAATATCATCGCACACTAATTTACATAAAGCCATGGTCTGCTCCAAATAAGTCGCTTCGGACTTTGAAAAAAACCTGCATTGCTCATTTCTACACTAATATCTCCTCAGTAAAATCCTTCTTTTACATTTCCTATCTCCCTCCCACTAAGACTGTAGTTAGGCTGAACTTAGTTTAACAGATATTTCACACTTTCATATATTATCTACCTAAATTGTAGATATAAATGTGAAAAACAGTTTTTTTCCATTTCCGACAGTACTTTAGTAATCTTACTGTACATTCAAAACACACAAACTTGACCTCCTAAATGATGCTCTTTGTTCATACTGTCATCATTGACTTGTTGACCAATTAAGTATGTGTGGGTCTAGCCACATCTTACTATGAGTTATACTCACAGCAAGAGTGAGTGAGTGAGTGAGTATGGTTTTACACCGCTTTTAGCAATATTCCACAAACATCACGGCACGGTACACCAGAAATGAGACTTCCCCATTGTACCCATGTGGGGAATCAAACCCAGGCCTTCGAGTGATGAGCGAATGCTTTAACCACTAGGCTACCCCACTGCCCCACTCACAGTAAGAAAGAGATGTGGGTCGTAACTGCCGTACTGGAATTCTTCAGGAAGGAGCGTGGACACTTCAGTATCGGGATCTCACCTGCTTCCACCAACCTGCCAAGGAAACCATGTAATACAAATTGTGGTGATAATGGAACCAAAGTTGATGGCTGTTTAATATGTGATGGTGTAATTATCATTAACAAAATCTGGTGTACCTACAGATTATCTACCCAGGAGCATCTAATTAACATGTGCTACGTCTCCACGGATAAACTGAGGTCAAATTTACATCTAGGCAATAGATTTATCATGTATTTCATACTACTACAGAATCAAACTTACTGTAAACATTAAATCCTTGTAATTACATAAAAATATGAGGAGATGTTTCAAGAAGGCTCAATTGAGAACTATGTTATTCAACAAAAATGTCAAGGTAACATTACAAAACTACATGGTAAAGTTTCAAACATAAGAATGAAGTTGAGGGGCCTTGTCCTGATCTTAATTTCATGAAAATGATTTAGGAGGTTTTAAATATGACAGCAGTCAATTCAATCCCATCCTTACTTTTCTGTTACTTGTTTACAGTAACAATATGATGATACAGTGTCATATCCTGATACAAGGCCCATGATGCAATACATCATTTTAAAACCACTGTATCACAATACATACGACACAGTACAATATATCGTGCAAAAACATGTTAATCAACCTACGAATCGAAAGTACTGTATGAGGATACGAAACATATTGCACCCATAGTATCAGGATATGTATTGTATTGCAACCAACCATATCTTTAGAGCTCTAGTCTATCAACCTTAAACAAAATATGAACTTTACCACTGTTAAGCAAATACATCACTAGTAAGAGAAAAGATCAGTATAATCCTAGATTCTTGGGATATAAATAGGAAATGCAAGTAATATTTCAGATACAAGTAATATTTTCAGAGATCATAATATTTGTTCCTAAAATCACACCTACAATTAACCCTACCTGACAATATCAGCTGCTGTTGTAGCGCTGTTGGTGTAAAGAAGACCCAGCTGACACAGAGACAACAGCTTGGAGAGGTTCACCCACTCTATCTGCATAGCCATCATGCGGTTCACTGACGCCTTGGTCTGGAGGTGTGTCGGTGGAGATGACAGTGTTAGTTGTAAACATCAGTAATGCATAGCTACAACCATTAATAATGCACATAAATGACAGTCAGCATAGATATATCACAGACAATTCTGGTACAGATTAACCATCACAATTAGCAATATTACAGATATATCCCTTTCACTAGTGTCAGCAATATTACAGATATATCCCCGTCACTAGTGTCAGCAATATTACAGACGTATCCCTGTCACTAGTGTCAGCAATATAACAGACGTATCCCTGTCACTAGTGTCAGCAATATAACAGACGTATCCCTGTCACTAGTGTCAGCAATATTACAGATATATCCCTGTCACTAGTGTCAGCAATATTACAGAAGTATCCCTGTCACTAGTGTCAGCAATATTACAGATATATCCCTGTCACTAGTGTCAGCAATATTACAGACGTATCCCTGTCACTAGTGTCAGCAATATAACAGACATATCCCTGTCACTAGTGTCAGCAATATTACAGACGTATCCCTGTCACTAGTGTCAGCAATATAACAGACATATCCCTGTCCCGAGTGTCAGCAATATAACAGACGTATCCCTGTCACTAGTGTCAGCAAAATTACAGACGTATCCCTGTCACTAGTGTCAGCAATATTACAGACAGACATATCCCTGTCACTAGTGTCAGCAATATTACAGATACATCCCTTTCACTAGTGTCAGCAATATTACAGATATATCCCTGTCACTAGTGTCAGCAAAATTACAGACGTATCCCTGTCACTAGTGTCAGCAATATTACAGACAGACATATCCCTGTCACTAGTGTCAGCAATAGTACAGGCATATCTCTGTCACTAGTGTCAGCAATATTATAGATATATCCCTGTCACTAGTGTCAGCAATATTACAGATATATCCCTGTCACTAGTGTCAGCAATATAACAGACATATCCCTGTCACTAGTGTCAGCAATATTACAGATGTATCCCTGTCACTAGTGTCAGCAAAATTACAGACGTATCCCTGTCACTAGTGTCAGCAATATTACAGACAGACATATCCCTGTCACTAGTGTCAGCAATATTACAGACATATCCCTGTCACTAGTGTCAGCAATATTACAGACATATCCCTGTCACTAGTGTCAGCAATATTACAGATATATCCCTGTCACTAGTGTCAGCAATATTACAGATATATCCCTGTCACTAGTGTCAGCAATATTACAGATATATCCCTGTCACTAGTGTCAGCAATATAACAGACATATCCCTGTCACTAGTGTCAGCAATATTACAGATATATCCCTGTCACTAGTGTCAGCAATATTACAGACGTATCCCTGTCACTAGTGTCAGCAATATTACAGACAGACATATCCCTGTCACTAGTGTCAGCAATATTACAGATACATATCCCTGTCACTAGTGTCAGCAATATTACAGATATATCCCTGTCACTAGTGTCAGCAAAATTACAGTGTCACGATATATCCCTGTCACTAGTGTCAGCAATATTACAGACAGATCATATCCCTGTCACTAGTGTCAGCAATAGTACAGGCATATCTCTGTCACTAGTGTCAGCAATATTATAGATATATCCCTGTCACTAGTGTCAGCAATATTACAGATATATCCCTGTCACTAGTGTCAGCAATATAACAGACATATCCCTGTCACTAGTGTCAGCAATATTACAGATGTATCCCTGTCACTAGTGTCAGCAAAATTACAGACGTATCCCTGTCACTAGTGTCAGCAATATTACAGACAGACATATCCCTGTCACTAGTGTCAGCAATATTACAGACATATCCCTGTCACTAGTGTCAGCAATAGTACAGACATATCCCTGTCACTAGTGTCAGCAATATTACAGATATATCCCTGTCACTAGTGTCAGCAATATTACAGATATATCCCTGTCACTAGTGTCAGCAATAGTACAGATATATCCCTGTCACTAGTGTCAGCAATATAACAGACATATCCCTGTCACTAGCGTCAGCAATATTACAGATATATCCCTGTCACTAGTGTCAGCAATATTACAGACATATCCCTGTCACTAGTGTCAGCAATATTACAGATACATTCAGCAACATTACCAGTGATGACAGACATATCGCTGTCAGCAATAATATTAAAGCTATATTGTATTCAGCAACATTAAATATAAATCAGTCCGCAATATTACAGCCTGATCTTAAATGAAATGCTGAGGACCAGGGAAACAAAAACATCTTTCCAAGGACACTCCCTTAAGAAATATGTAAGAATTTCAAGGTATTTAAACTATATTTCATACATATTATGACAAATTTCTACTGAAAACTAGCTGAACATTTGGGATCACAACTGAAGTGAAGGATTAGGTGGGTCACTTGTTTCAGGCCTATGATAAAGGATGAATACCTTCAAAATACATTTATCATCAAACAGAGACACGTCAGACAGATCATCCTGGTCCTGTCGGATATAGTCGGCTGTCTTGGGATACATTTCGTCCACTTCCTCTTCAGACTCTGAGGTGGGGTACCCGTCCTCATCCTCCTTCGTGGGGTCATCGCACGCATAAAATTCTTCACCCTCTACGGAAGCTGGGTTGATAGTGTTCACTACCTGTAACATGTCACCAATGTGGTTCTCGTGTGATCTGTACACCCTCCACATCAAATACGGCATTCTTAAATAAAGTTAGTAACTTTTTTATGAATGTATCTCAATGTTAACAATTAAGTTATTCCTGAGTCTTTGGGGTCATGGAATCTATATATTTAACTGTCCACATTAGGGTTGTGATAAGGACCATGCTATATTTTCAAACACTGTATGAGTTTAGTCTGTGAATATCAAAACAAATTACTGAACTACAATTCCAAGTCTCAATCGTGAGTACATTTCACATATGAATATACAAGCAGACAAGTTTTAATGGTTTCATCAAATCTAATCAGAATGTGTTCAAATTCAGTAAAGGTGAGGCAGTTACCATGGTTACCATGGCAAATATATAAAGTAAGTGTCAGATAAATTGCTGTTATGTAGACAACACCTTATATCAACACTTCCTATACTCCAAGACAAAAGCACCTGCTATCATATTAATCATCATGCTGTGACTTTCTAAAACACATAACCCAAACTCATTCAAATTAGAATTTCAAATTCTTTAAGGAAATCATATACCAGTTATTGTGATAGGGATAAATGTTTGATTTACCCTTACAGAATAAACAGTAATTTAAACAGAAGAGAATTGGAGGTGTGACTTTTTCTTTCTGCACATAAGATGCATCTTGGAAGGATGAGGTCAGATGAAATGTGATTCAATAAGGATTCATGTGTGGATGCACGTTGAGAGGGGGCTGCTTGTACAGGTGAACACATTGGGTTTTATTGAGCTAGCCCGTGAGATGCAACTCCAAGGTGGCAAGTCTTTGTCTGTTGTAGTAACTTGAGGCAGGGTAACAACAAGTACCACCATTTAGTGAGTGAGTGAGTGAGTTTAGTTTTACGCCACACTCAGCAATATTCCAGCTATATGGCGGCGGTCTGTACATAATCGAGTCTGGACCAGACAATCCAGTGATCAACAGCATGAGCATCGATCTGCGCAAATGGGAACTAATGACATGTGTCAACCAAGTCAGCGAGCCTCACCACCCGATTCCGTTAGTCGCCTCTTACGACAAGCATAGACGCCTTCTGTGGCAAGCATGGGTTGATGAAGACCTATTCTCCCCCCGGATCTTCACGGGTCACCATCATTTAACATCTTTTGCTGTGACACTGGCATGGGATCAAAACACAGCAGATAGAAACAACATCCACTTCTCAAGCGACATTAAATTACTAGATGAACTTACAACGGTCAGGGCGGCGTGGTAGCTTAGTGGTTACAGCGTTCCCTCATCATACCGAAGACCCGGGTTCAATTCCCAACACAATGTGTGAACAATGTGTGAAGCTGATTTCTGG